TTATTTATATGTATAAATAAATATTTATATAAATGTGTATGTATAAGTCAAAATTTCTGATTTGTAAAATGTAAAAGTTGTTTTGTTATTTTTGAAATAGGGTAAAGATAAAGTAGGGAAAGTGAATTTTTCCCTAGATGTAATTTCCTCTTAATAAAATTGGACATGGTTTTGGCTATTGGGCTGGCCCAGATAGTAAGGTTTGGACGAAATTGAATTCTGGACTATCCATTCAAATCGGGGACTTGGGCTACTACAGGGCTTGGATGGGTATCTTGAGCCACGTGGCTCTTAGAGTGGAGGGTATTGGGCGAGTCTCGTTTTATACAAAACTTAACGAAGAGAGTACTGCTTAGCGCTTTTAGATGCAATTATGAATAGTTGAACAGAAAAATATTCTTAAATTGAAATAACAAATTACAACCTATATATTTCCCTACTTAACATTTTGCATAATATTTAAAATTTTATACTTAAATAATAATTTAACCCATTTTAACCACACATTCTTCAATAAAATAATATTACACGTAAATTCAAAACAATTCCTTATTTTTTAACCACACATTTCCCATCATATCACTATTAACAAAATGCAATTTTTTCAAAAAAAAAAAAGAAAAAGGAGCTCAAACAAACCCAAAGTGATACATAATATAATACAAATAGCTTGATTTCTTATTTTCAACTATAGATATTTTGGTGTAGTTAATTAATTTAAATGGTAAACTTGTAAATTACTTAGCAAAAGTCATTGATCATTACCATCCTATGAAATAAAATATTACATAAAGTATAAATACTAACTATATTCACAGTAGCCCCTGATTAATTAAATTTTGATTTTAATTTAAGTCAAAATCAACAATTAATTTTAATCGTACATTTTAAAGAATCCATAACTTTTCAACCACACGATTTATCAACTTTTATCAAAATCTATTAAAATTCTGATTTTAGTCCTTACCAAATTGGGCATATATTTTTTAGCTACACAAGGAATTATGAATATGACAGAATAGAATACAAAAAAAAGGCAAGGTCATTGAAACATAATCAATGGGGGAAAAAGGAATTATGAATATAACAAAATAATCATCTATTTGATTGTATTATTGCTGCTCAAAAAAAATAAAAAAAATAAAAATTGCGTCTTTCGGGTTCAT